AATTATTATCGTTACAGTTATAATTGGAAATATGATTGGGGTGATTTAGATATATCTTGAGAATTGTAATGTTTAGGTTTTGTTCATATTCCATTAATTAGAGCATAAATATGAAATTCATATAATGGAAATAGAAATCTTCAACTTTTTCGTGCAAAATTTTAAGAGAAGAATTGACAAAAACTTTTGAAGGTTAAATTCGACAAAGAAAGGACAGGAATCATTGCAAAGGATACACACTGTTTTGGGTTAGAAAAAAAGAAAAAAAACAACAAAACTTTGTCACATTATCAAAATAACCTTGACAAATAAACAAATAAACAGAACAAAGAAATTGATTCAAAAATTACAGAGGAGGAAATATGAGACAGCAAAATAAGCAACAGACAATTTTATTGCAATTGTAACTTTACATTCATTTGTTTACTTTTTTGTTTGTCTATTTATGTAAATATTTGTTTATTTCCTTGTTTTTATCTAATCGTTATTTATTTGTTCGCTTATTTATTTTATTTGTATTTATTATTTACTTATCTATTTTTGGAGTTGTATATTAATTAATTTGTAATAATTAATGAAATAGAAAAAATCAACACATGAGAGCAAGAAATCAAAATCCTGGCAAATTACTGTTGCTAACTAGTGATAACAGTTGGAAAATAAAAGAGACAGGATATTCTTTGTTTTCTTTAATGAATTAATTGATATATACATATGTACCCAATGATGGATGTAACTTCTGCAGTTTGGTTGTTATCAACGGAAAGGAATCAAAATTTCGCAAATATTTGTAAATTTTTTAAAATAAACGAGAAAAATTACAATTAGAAAGAAATTAATAATTAAAATGTAAAGTAAACAACAAATTCTAAACTTTTTCTTCGCTTTTTATATCACAAAAAATATTTCAAATCATAGAATGCTCAAAAATTAGTAAAAGATTCATGTTTGTATAAAACGAAAGAGAAAGAAGGATAATTACCGTTCTCGTGGAAATGTACCATTCGTTTGTTAAAACGTTTAGGTATAGGTGAAGTAGATGGCATAGATGAGAAATTATGCAAAAATGATGGTACTGATGAATTGGTCAAGGAACGTTCCGAATCTGACGTCTTACGTGTTCGAAAGCGTGGCTTCCAAGATGAGAATAATCCCGGCATCTTATTAATCGTACTTTTTTAAAGAAATATTTATGTTTGTAATCGAAGTTTAATAATATCGATTAAATGAAAAAATCGAAGTTTAATAATATCGACACCTTTTCCATTATAGTCGCTATTGCTTTTGTTATTATTATTATTATCATTTATTATAAATTTGATAGCCTAAGTTGTTAAGATTGAAATATAAGTTTGTTTTGCTTTTAGTCAAACATGTATATGCCAGAAATGAAGGAATAGAAGAGTAGGATGAAAAGGAGAACAAATAAGAAATGAAAAGAAATAGAGAAATTTTTGTTATGTTCATTATTTTTTGAAGTATAATGAATTAACAGAAATTAAAATAAATGCTATAACAATAACAACAACAATAGCAACAACTAAACAATAACATCATATGCTTATCTAATAAGATAATTTATCATTCTTATTAAACCAAGAAATAAGTAAATAATAGTAAAACTGGAATTAATTAGAACGATTGAAAATTTTCTGGATAGGATAGAATAGAATAAGAAGGAAAAGTCATTGTAAGATCAGGGAGAATCAACGATGGTAACTGTTGTAATAATACATTTGGACAAAAGTGAGAGGAAAAGAAATGAGAAATGAGAGATATTCATTCAAAGCTTCCTGTCAGAAATAGCACCGAACTAATCGGTGCAAAGCTCATCCTAAGCTTTCACATTGAACATATCGATATCGTAATGATCACTAATCAACCAACGACAAATGATCACAGACACATCCATTCACGACACACACACATACACACACACATACATACATACATACATACGCACATACGCACATACACGCATACACACATACACGCACAGACATATACATTCATATATATAGAATACAAAAACTTTTCCTTCAAATTTTCCTCTACTCTCATTTGGTAACACTATCCTCCTCACATACACATATACAGACACAGACAGACCTACATACATACACACACACACACTCAGACGCGTACACACTTTTCCGATCGTTTCACAGACATTGTAAATTTGCAAATTTCAACTGCATGTATGACTGTGTATACATTTGCATATATATATGTGTGTATGTGTGTGGGTGTGTGTTTGTTGTGTGTATGTGTTGTGTATGTATGTGTGCATGTATGTGTGTATGTGTGTTGTGTGTGTGTGTTTGTGTCTGTGTGCAATATGTTTCTATTACATATTTATTTATATGTTTATATTTTGAACTTAAATTTATGCGCCGACTTTTCTGGTGACAAAAATGAATGCAAAAGCATTGGATCGATCAGTCAGTCAATCAGTCAATCTGTCTGTCTATCAATCAATCAACCAGTCAATCGATCGATCTATCTATCTGCTATAGACCTATCTATTCTATTTCTATCTCTATTTTGATAAAGTATTAAGAAGTCTTTTATGAATTAATGACAAGGAAAAGGAATACAAGAGAAGGGAAAGTGAATAGATGGAGATGGACAAGGATATAAAGGATAAGATAAATTTATGGATGATTGAAAAGAACAGTTGTTTGAAATATACGTATCAAATGAAGAGGATATAACATTTGTGGTACTAATATTGACCGTTCAGATAGATGGATAAATGTTATCATTGCATATTGCCGATTCTTCTTCATTCATTGAAAGCTTATGCAAAAAAATGATAACATTAAGAGAGGAAGGAGAAGGAAAGAACAAAAAAAGCTTCTTTTCTTCCTGTTGTGAAATCTCTTTTTTTTTCCAATTTTTGATTTCAATCGTTTTCATGTCGAATTCTTCCTCACTTTTTATTTCTTTCTGCTTCTTATATCTGATGTTTTGAATATTACTAATTAGCAAAATGAATGATATTAGTATGCTGATGATAACGTTAAGATTATGATAATAGCAACTATAATGATGAAAATGGTATTAAGATAATAATGGTAAGTTGTTAATGATAACGTTAAGATTAGAGTGGTGATAGCTAATGTTAGTGGTGAGATTAAGACTGAGATTATGATGAAATCATGATGATAATGGAATGGTGAAAATGAGCTGATGATAATAATCATGACGATGGCATGATAGTTGTGACGAAATTGAGATGATGATAATGATGATGATAATAATAATGGTACGATTATGATGATGATAAATACAATCATGACACGATTGAGGTTGAGATGATGATAATGGAAAATAATGATTAACAATGATAGTATGACTGGGATTACGATAGTGATTAGTAGATGAAAATGAGAGTACAAAAGCGAAAAAAGAAAAGTGCGATAAAATGAATTCTCAAATTTAATACATTGCACATAAAATCTCAAATGTTTTAGACGAGGAAGATGAAAAAAAAGAAGAGAAAAGAGACAAAGTGTGGAAAGCGCAAATGAGCAATGTGCGCCTCGCCTTATCTCACTTCACATTAAATTCAAAAATAGTCTATTAATTCAGGAAACTTTTCATTTTTTTTCTGCCAATGAAAATTTTAGCAAAATGAAAGAAGGAGGGAAAACCGGAACAACGGCCGGATACGTTCTGTTTTGTAACTGAACTGGAAGTGATGAAAAGCATTCTCGAGATTTATATCATCAATTTAATGCTATGTGTATGCATCCTTTTGGAAATAAAATAAGAAATAATAGCAGTTAAAAAAATATGAATTAAATATTAGAATGCAAAAGAAAAAAAGAAATTTCAATGAGAAATTTAAATTTTGTACAATTTGGTTTGCTTTGTAAACTAAAAAGAACTAAGAATTAAATGGAATACTTAATTGGAAAATGGATGAAATAAGCAAAAAGTTGAATTGAATATTTATTGCCTCGTGTACATAATTAAACATTTTGGATCATTTGTTTCTTAATTAATTAACTTATTTACTGATATGTTTGGTGACGTTTATAATGATGGTACAATGGATGAAGTCAAATTTAGCAAGATAAAAATCGTATATGGTCGCAATTTAAGTGTCTTCTATAGTTTTATATCATCATTTAATTTGCTTGATTCACTTGTCCCATTTTAAAGTATTTTTTCGAAATTGGACAACTGAGAAGAATAAATTGAATCATAATAAGCATTTTTTATATTTTCATTTTAGATTTACAAAGCTAAGAGGTTAATTAACTTAAAGAAATTAATATTTAAATGCTAATTCTTCATTTGATGCTAGATTGGTATTCGTTATTCTTATCATCAGATTTGAAGCAATTCAGATGTTTAATCATTTTATCATTAAATAAAGACAACGGTATGCTTATTCTCAACGATACACTTTTACCAAATGACTTGCGAAATTTTGAATCTAAAATGCAATTGATAGCAAAGTGTAATTGATTGGAAATTGTATAAAGTGTAATTAATCGGGAAATGATAGCTGAATGACTAATTTTAATGGTCAGTATACATCGCTTCAATTTATTTCACTCCATTTGAATTTAACGTCAGAATGATTAATTCATTGATAGTTTGAATAGAAATGTAAAGCAGTAAAGTACAAAGGAAGATTTTTAAAATTTTGATAAAATTGTTTTCAACTACTAATAAATTCCATTATCATAAAAGGCAGTTGACGGCTTAATAACGGGAAATCTCGAGGATTTAAAAAAAAAGGACGAAACAATCAAATATTAGGTGAAATTTTGAAGTTTTGAATAACTTTTACATTGTAATCTAAAATTGTTTGTTTGTCTTCTTTTTTTTTTTTAAATTACTTCTTTTACTAAATAATCTTTTCTTTTTTCCAAAGCTTCTTTTTCTAATGTTTAATATTTCAACTATAAAAATTGTAAATTTTCATTAAAGCATGTCAAAAGAATGTCATTTACATTGTCATTGACATTTGCAGTATTGCTTAATGATCTGCCAACAAATTATTCTTTCTTTTAATTGTCAAACCNTATGAATGAAAGTTTTCAATTGTGTTTAATGATGCATATCAACTCACATTC